TGGACTATCGGTCCCCGTAGTTGGCACTACTCTACTGGTGGACTATCGGTCCCCGTAGTTGGCACTACTCTACTGGTGGACTATCGGTCCCCGTAGTTGGCACTACTCTACTGGTGGACTATCGGTCCTACGGTTTGGACTTAACTTGATAGTAATAACTTAATCTGGCACGGGTTATATAAAATGCTATTTAAAATGGTGATTCTCTAGAGAATATTTACATGTTCCGTAGTACTTGTATAATTTCAGCAAAGAAAATGTAAATAAACAGTATTTATTTTTATTTTACAACAATATTTGGAACAAGATTAATTTACTTATATTGATCAATTAATCAGTTATTCGTGCATAGAGCAACCCCGCAACGAAGTTAAGGGGGTATACTGGAATCACCCTGGCTGTCCGTCTGTCTGTCGTCCACAGTAATTTGTTCGGGCAACTTCTCCTTAACTAACAGGTGGATTTCATTGACACTTTGCATGAATAATCGATATCTTATGTAGTTGTGCACCGGCATTTTGATTTGGGATTTCGACCCTTTTTGTTGGAGTTATGCCCCTTTGTGCTAGAGACTTGACAACTCCTTCTAACTAACTGCAGGTGTATTTCATTGAAACTTAGCATGGATGATCGGTATCCTATGTAGTTGTGCACAGGCATTTTAATTTGGAATTTCGACCCTTTTTGATGAAGTTATGCCCCTTTGTGCGAAATACTTGTCTGCACAACTCCTTCTAACTAACAGGTGTATTTCATTGAAACTTTGCATGAATGATCGGTAACTTATGTAGTTGTGCACCGGCATATTAATTTGGGATTTTAACCTTTTTTGATGAAGTTATGCCCCTTTGTGCGAAATACTTGTTTATTTTTTCGTTAATTTAATTTTTGATAAAAAAGTGATTAACTCATTACTGGTGGAAGACTATATTGCTTTGCATTGGTAAGCATTTAGCTTACAGTTCTAGTTTATATAGTAGCGGGGGCATTAGTTAGCCTTTAGCTTAGAGTTCTGGTTGATATAAGAGCGGGGGGATTAGTTAACCTTTGGCTTACAGTTCTAGTTGATTCAACTGTAGCACGACTTGGAAAGGCTGCTTCCTTTGACCAGAATGCCGAGTTGGCTAGAGCGAAAATAGTATTATCTCAAGTCCAGGGTTTGAATCCTTGCCCCGGCCATGTTTCAAACTCAGAACTCTGCTGTGGATTTCGTTTTACTTCATCTTTAATTTTGTAATTTAACACCCTTAAATTGTGGTTTTGTTTTCAAAAACAGTTTATCAAAGCAATTGTCAGAGAAAAACACAATTCAATGCACAGTTCCAGGTTTTGACAGTGGTTCATGGACCCTTAACTTAATCAGATATACGTAACGACACTAAAACATCAGTCTTATAAAATATACGTAACGACACTAAAACAGCAGTCTTATAAAATATACGTAACGACACTAAAACATCAGTCTTGTCATGTGAAATATGAAGGAAAAGAGACAATAGTAGGAAGCAGGACATAAGTAGAGAAATGTTTAACCCTAAACCAATAGAGTTCCAGTAGGAAACTTACAATGAAAAATACCATTCAATCCTTATGTAATCATAGAAAGGCACACACAAATATTAATCTTTCTAAAATAATGTAAAAAAGTTTTATAAGTATTTAGTAATAGACGTATGATGTATCACAATGGCCAGCAAGATAAATGAATTCCTTGCAAATAAATGCAAACATCTACCACTAGCCCTCCACCACTGGGTCGCGGGTTCGAGGCCTACCTGGGGCAGTCGCCAGGTAATGGCCGTAAGTCGATGGTTTTTCTCCGGGAACTCCGGTTTTCCGCCACCACCACCACCATCACCTGGCACGTCATTAAATTACCATATCTGTTAATAGGACGTAAAACACGAACAAACCAAACCAGCACGATATCTAAATCGATACAAGAATAAAGTTATTATGCAATATTTGTTCTTTGTTACTGGAATAATACTTTCACTGAATTTAGATGGTCCAAACAATATTTCACTATCCCCACCTGGTGATGTGTCTGTACAAGACGGAGCCTGGATACCTAAACTACATTGCGAAGCGAGTTGTTCCCCTTCCTGTGCTATATACTGGACTGGACCGAATACCTACCAGGCTGGGAGACGTGGACTCGATCTATTTATCGGATACGCAGACAGGAATAATCGTGGTGTCTATGTCTGTGTGGCATCCAACGACTATGGAAACATATCAGCCTCTCTGAGGGTTAATGTAACTTGTAAGTCAGTACCGATATTTTCCCATCGTAAATATTGAAAATTGGTTATTATTTTTAGCTTTACTACATGAATAGATATTATGAAAAACAATTAAACGTCTTCTATTTTTGAAAATGTTATACGTATTAAACACATGATTGCAAATGTTACGTTGGAGGGTAAAAAAATGCTATTTCTCGATTTCATTGTAATGCAACATCTATTTAATAATGGCCACTATATTTTTTTCATTTGTCCTATACACACTTTCTTATCTCTTCCTTGATAATGGTCAAATGATTTGTTAAGATGGACCCAAAGAGATAGTTTTGGAACCAACCCTTCGGACATACACGATGTTGGAAGGCGAAAAAATGCCAACTGTCCTCTGCACAGCTGACTGTAACCCCGCGTGTCACGTGACCTGGACGACGAACAATGACCGTGTCAGTGGTAATGGCACCCTATCTCTCGGTAGGCTGGATACCAGTAAAGATGGTACATATACATGTACTGCCCGGGGCGGAACCAGAACCGAAACCGTGACCATCAATGTCACAACTTCATGTAAGTCATTCCATGATTGTATATATTGGTTTTCTTTACTGTTTTTTATTTTAAAAAAATACCAAGCATTTTGCAATCGTAATCGTAGGACAACTGGTTCATTTATTTTTGATTCAACGTTATTTTCGATTTTCTGTTTCGAGGAACAGGAATTAAGTAAAATATTTCTTAAGTAGATAACATTATCGAAAAACAACAAAGGAAATTGTATAAAAGAAATAACCAACGTCTTGAATTGTTGTGTTTAGCCCTATTTCACTTATATTACAGTAACATTATTCATGTATTTATAATTTCTTTTTATAAGAGCCTATACTGAATATTTACAATCCAATAATTTTCTTTTTCTTTAAACGTAGTCAATTGATTATTACTCTTTGACTTGTCAACCTCAGTGTTCCATGGGAATTGGTAATTTAATTTACATGCAAATGTTTTCGGACTCTCCTCATATGACTCGCGGTGTTTTCTGGTCATGCGCATACCATCTTATATATTTTTTATTACACATGCCGCATTACAGAAAACAGGTGTGGAAATGGTCTTACGCGATTTAATGTTTTCGTATTTTCTGGTACATTAGAACCGGAACTGTGTAATTATTCAATATTTGCTATACACATTTTCGAGATCTAACTGTAATATAAAGAATCATAATAAAAAAGACAAATGAGCACTTAGTTGCAGTGAAAAGGCATCTCTTTTAGAACATCATTGTTATTTTCTCAGGTTTATAATTGTGTCAGATAGTAAAATGCATGATAAATCTAATACAGACTTCATCGGGGAATGCTTTCATACACTTATCACTTTATAATATTATATTCATTTAATTACTGTGACGATACATCTATATATCATTAGTACAACTAGGTTGTTGTATTTACGTTAAGTTTTGTTTTTTATCAAGATGGTCCAAAAACTATTTCGCTATCCCCACCTGGTGATGTGTCAGTAGAAGAGGAAGAGAGGATAGATGTTCGATGCCAGGCGAGTTGTTCCCCTTCCTGTGATATATGCTGGACAGGACCGAATACCTACCAGGCTGGGAGACGTGGACCCAATCTATTAATCAGACACGCAGACAGGACTGATCGTGGTGTCTATGTCTGTGTGGCATCCAACGACTATGGCAACATATCAACTTCTTTGAGGGTTAATGTAAACTGTGAGTAAAATATGGGGTTTAAAAAAATAAATAAAACGGGAATGTCAGTCAATTTTAATATCATTAATTAGAAAATTTGTTTGGTAACGACACAACATCTTTACTCTTGTTTCATACACAATTTGTACCTTCCTGGAATGCCGGAATCTGTACGGTCATGCTATTCGTATAGTGTAGTTACAAGAAGAACAAAGGGAGATAACACCTAAAGAAAAAAAAAATAACAGAATAAAAGGAACGTATAATCGACTTATGGTTTATCAACTTTATGCCAAAAACTAGTTGTAATTAATAAAAGAAAGCCCTCCTTGTATAATTTGAGATCAAACTCTCTCTTGTCAGTTTCTTTAAAAGATTGAATGACAAAAGTTTTATGTTCAGATGCTGGTTCTGACATTAAATTAGTTCCCAACGATACCCATTACTCGGACAAAGAGGGAACCGTCCTGCCGGATATCCGGTGTGTAGCTGAATGTAATCCCGCATGTGAGATGTCATGGTACCATGATAGGACCGGTCGTTTAGTTGTGGGAAGTACCTTGTCCTTGAAAAATATGAAAAGGTCAAAGGATGGAAACTACATGTGTAATGCTACGAACAACCTGGGGCCACAGACTTTGAGTCTGACCGTAGTGTCTCTCTGTAAGTGAACGTGTAGTAACGGTAGACACGTATACGCTATTGATTGGTACTATTCATTATATTTTGTTCAATCAAGTCGCACATGATAATACTAAAAACGATTATATTTATAATCAACATATGTAGACAGAATATGTTTATGAATAGTAAAACTGCGTATACTGTGTTTAAAAATACCTTTCTCTTTATAATAATGAATTTAATATTTAACGCAAAATGATGTACAGTTAATAACTTTTATAAAGTCTATATCGATATATTTCTTTCACCAATGATTATTGCTTTATTCAGAATACGTCAATAAATACATTACAGTGTATATTCTATACGGTTTAGTTAATATGTAGTATTCTGAGTCCAATCACAAATGTTAAAGTAAATGGCTTGTTGTAGATATTTAAATAACTTCGTTGTAATGGTAATATTTGGCAATCAGTATATGTCGCTGAAATAGTTGTTGCTATGCTATAGTTCCTCCAGAGGTACTCCGAAAGGACTTGCTGAATACCTCGTATGATGTGGACGAGTGGGACAGTGTATTTAGCAGTATTTCCGTTGACGCGTCACCTCTCCCGCAGGCTGACCTTGTGCATGTTGGAGTAGATCAACAGGAGGCTACTAACGTCGTACTGCAGTCTCAGAGACAACCTGTCTCCTATAGGACCGAGTTTTCCTACAGCATCAGAAATATCACATACTCTGATGTGGGACACTACACACTTACCGTGTCTAACTCACAGGGGGACTTCACATACAAGTTCTCAATCAACATCATACATGAAGGTATAATACAATGAGTACAATGTTTATGTGTGGTAGCTACTTGATAGCATTCTATTATATCTGCTATTTTACCAATTGTGGACGTTTGTTTGGGTAACTATGTCGTTTTAAGGACAATTAAGAGATTAAATGACCTAGACAAAGTCGGGGCCATTATTAAGTGTCAGGTCCCGGTAACCGCATACTCACCGAAGCCACCAATGTTTTATTAGATATGCACTTGCGCTGATTTCATTATTTAATAAGACGGGACGTGAGAACAAAATGGCATTTTGAAGTGACGTCATAAAAAGAATGGTGACTTGTTCTTCATGAAAAGAGACCGAGGCATTATCACTAATCACCGACCTCCATGTGATTGTGGCTCAACCAATAACGATGTAAGACATATGTGTGTCATTAAACATATGTACATAATTTACATCAAACCTATAAAACAATGTACAAGCAAAATATATCAGTGGTATTCAACTGTTATCATTCAGGTATTGAGTCGTGTAATGTAAAAGTAAACAAAAAGTTCACCCTTCTGAAACATACAAAGTTATGGTCAGAACCAAGCTAGTGTCTATACCACAAAGTTAAGGTCAGAACCAAGTTAGTTTCCATACCACAAAGTTACGGTCAGGACCAAGCTAGTTTCTGTACCACAAAGTTACGGTCACAACCAAGCTAGTTTCTGTACCACAAAGTTACGGTCACAACCATGCTAGTTTCTATACCACAAAGTTACGGTCACAACCAAGCTAGTTTCTAAACCACAAAGTTGCGGTCAGAACCAAGGTAGTTTCTATACCACAACGTTACGGTCAGAACCAAGCTAGTTTCTGTACCACAAAGTTACGGTCAGAACCAAGCTAGTTTCTATACTACAAAGTTACGGTCAGAACCAAGCTAGTTTCTATACCACAAAGATGCGGTCAGAACCAAGCTAGTTTCTGTACCACAAAGTTACGGTCAGAACCAAGCTAGTTTCTATACCACAAAGATGCGGTCATAACCATGCTAGTTTCTATACCACAAAGTTACGGTCAGAACCAAGCTAGTTTCTATACCACAAAGTTACGGCCAGGACCAAGCTAGTTTCTATACCACAAAGTTACGGTCAAAACCAAGCTAGTTTCTATACCACAAAGTTACGGTCAGGACCAAGCTAGTTTCTAAACCACAAAGTTACGATCAATACCAAGCTAGTTTCTATACCACAAAGATGCGGTCAGAACCAAGCTAGTTTCTATACCACAAAGTTACGATCAATACCAAGCTAGTTTCTATACCACAAAGTTACGGTCAGGACCAAGCTAGTTTTTATACCACAAAGTTACGGTCAGAACCAAGCTATTTTCTATACCACAAAGTTACGGTAAGGACCAAGCTAGTTTCTATACCACAAAGATGCGGTCAGAACCAAGCTAGTTTCTATACCACAAAGTTACGGTCAGGACCAAGCTAGTTTCTATACCACAAAGTTACGGTCAGGACCAAGCTAGTTTCTATACCACAAAGTTACGGTCAGGTCCAAGCTAGTTTCTATACCACGAAGATGATAAGAAACAATAATTGTGTTCTACCTTTCTTTTAAGGATCATTTGGTAATGGTGGTGGTGCCAGTCATCTGACAGCTGTTTTGGTTATCATTGTGGTAACAGTCAGCATCGCAATTATGCTTGTGATTGTTGCTCTCATTTTTGTCTTCAGACGGAAGCAAAACAGAGGTAAGCAGTAATAACGCTTCCGTAGAACCTTAACTTGAATATACTGTACATTTGTATTTGCCTCTGTAAACAGTGATGTTAGTTAAGTTATCGCTCACAAGCTTCGTAGCCCTATTTCCCACCATAGTCATCATTTATTTGTGATATCTTACTGAAGTTCACTTTATATTGATACACTATATACTACTGTAAACTCTTTGTGGCAATTGTTTATTTGTTTTATTGTGTGGATTTTTCTTCTTCTTTCAAAAACATGTTTAATTTCATATTACGTACATATACTTATACTAAAGTAATCATTTCTTATGCAGAAAGACAAGATAAAAACAGTGGTGATTCTGATGGCACCCTCAATGGAGAGCACAATGTTTTATATGGACACCAGGAAGACGGTTTGTATCACAATACGACATTTAATAGTTCGCTTGTTTGTAAAATATGATAGAAACCATGATGTAGGCGTATATATAATCGTCCTCCAAAACACTAGTACATATACATTATAATAGTCCTCCAAAACACTACCACATATACATCATAATAGTCCTCCAAAACACTAGCACATATACATTATAATAGTCCTCTATAACACTACCACATATACATTATAATAGTCCTCCATAACACTACCACATATACATTATAATAGTCCTCCAAACCACTACCACATATACCTTATAATAGTCCTCCATAACACTACCACTTATACATTATAATAGTCCTCCAAACCACTACCACTTATACATGATAATAGTCCTCCAAACCAT